GGTGTCGGGCAAACAGTCTTCTTGACCTTACTTTAAACTACTGCTTTGCGGTCGGTCTTTGGTTGATGACCTTAGGTGTTTTTCAATGGATATACGGGCACATTGGCAGCATCTCAGCCTAAAGACAATCAGGAATTACACGATAATACCCACCTTCATGCCACATTCGCTATCGCGTGAGCAATCAAGACGCCTTATTAGCTGTACACATGAGGACAGATAAGGGAGAGTACGCGGCTGTTGATGCGTCCTATCTTTATTCAATGACTTTAACCCCATCCTACCTCATTTAGATAACCACTCTTTCATAGATCCTAGCTGTTAGTATATCAGACACTAGTGGTGGTGACGGATCGGACATCGCCACTCACTTTTCCCCTTGACTTTCAGTCTCCACTGCTCTGTTTTAATTGCAGCTAGTAGTGTACGAACCCTTAGGCAAACTGGCCAACACGCCTCTGCTGACAGTTTGTTGATTTACGTTCGTTGCATTCTTGAAATCCCAATACAAGGCGGAAGTACGGCAGTTGAGCTTCTCACACCTCTGACTAGACGTCATCGGCTGCGAACTACAGGCGTTTCTTCAGCTGCCGCGGCTAGATGCGCCCCATTCTGATGAAATCCTCAGCTACCGAGCTTAGGCTTCTTAGTTTCATTGGGTTCCTCCAAAAAGTAAACTCTGCGCCGTTCACCTGTTCATGTCCATAAGGGCTCACAATGGTCAAAATATTGATCGCTCTTTAAGATCACGGTTTATGTACCAAACAACTACAACCATGATTACGTCAAACACCTCATTAAGAAGAAACCATTGCTTTACCTACCACGATGAGTTCATATATAGCTTAAGTGTTGCGGACTTCAATGCATAAGTAGGGCAAATCAGTTCAGTCAAGGCATGACTTGATGGTGTCCAGCTTGAACTAAAGGCATAATGACAATTGCGACCTCTTTTTAGTATTACCCACCAGTTGTTCCTTCACAACCATGAGCTAAGAAGCGGTAGATGCCATTGTGCTACCCGGCTCCCACCTAATGTTGAACTGCCGTGGAACTAAATCGATGACGTAGCAAGTAGCTACCTGTGGCCAGACTCAAATCTAGGCTGCCGAGGTAGAGTATTCCGGTTCGTTTATGTTTATCTGGGTTATGCTCCGTCCGATGTCATTATTCATGAGTTCATGATGCCGGGGGCCATGTGGGAAGTCGTTTACTACTGGGACTGTACAGGAGAATGTTGCACTCAGCTGAGGAGAAACACACGCGACACCTGTTGTTGAATACTGAGGGTGGTTTGAAAGTTACTCACTAAGTCATCAACAAAGCCGAAGTCCCCCTGGAAACGGGAGGACGTCAAGACTATCGACTCGCGAAAGAATGCTTCTTGAAATGTTGCCTACCACAAAATGGAATAATATTAGCAATATTGGATACCCCTGACGAAACCCACTGGTTACTTGCTAGCTCGACATTGGTTGGCTGTAAACCTACCGTCTATAGGCCCCGCTGTTAACATCAGAGTTAGCCGCTAGGCTATTTATGATGAGATAGTTACGCAGAAAGCTCCACCAGCTAAGTCGAAAGCCACACAGATGTTCGGCGTTGTAAATCTCCCGGGCTGTTGGCTGACATGTTTGTGGCCCCAAAGATCTTTGGATGTGACAAGCACAGGCTCAATGAAGAAGTCTGTCTGCAGTTCAAGTTGGATCAACCTGAAAGCAGCCTTTGGAGGTTATTGTCGTAATGATCTGAGCAGTTGATTTTTCTGACTTTCCATGAACATCAAGAGCACGAAGGAATTCGGCCAAGCAACAGAAACGAAGTCATGAGTCTCGTCGTCAGTTTGTCGAACAAAAACTGCCACCTAATTTGAAAATCCATGGTGAGGATTTGATAATTTAAATGAGAATGCAACCTCAGGGACTCATTCGACAGTAGGCAGAGGGTTGGAACGGACCAGTCAGCTTGCAGCACAGGTGCTACTGACACACACCGGTCTCACCCGATTGAAGCGCTGCCACTTGTTTGTCCACACCGCTGTTGCCGTAAGGAGGGTTCACCACTCTCCTCTTTGCCTTGATACAAGTTTCCTGGTCCGGAACGTTCCCCGCCTGCTTTGCTTCCATAGTGCGTTCCAGCGTTAGTCCCTTATTCACTTTCTTGGGAATTTCGACATATACTTCCTATCCACAAGCGTGGACCCTTTGTGACGCGAACGACTACAGTTAAAACGGTTGTATTTTGTACAAAGTTCGGGACCCGGACCAAACAGATTCCGTGACCATGTGCAGTATCCTCCTGAGCGGAATGGTCTTAAGTCTAGTTACCTGCCTTAGACTCATTCGATGGAACCGAACTGATTCACCCTGATATTTCGGAAGCTCTCGACAGAGTATGACATAAGGGTTACTGCCGAACCACGGTCTGCAGCCTCTGATCAACTGCAGTGGGTTAGTTTCTACGAATCGGCCCGTTTTTAGATTGACGACAACAACCCTGAGGTCCTACCCTACGTCGCATGGTTTTACTACTTTTCATACATGACCTAGTTTCGTCAAACTCCGAATGTATTCACACACCCCGGATTGTGCTACCCTTCAAGAACCCACCCTTTACCACTGCGGGATCTAACGGCCGACCTCTAAAGACAAACTATAGAGACCCAACACCCTAAATTCTCTAAACTACCGGCGGTACTCCCTTTTCCGTCTTTGCCACTACCGAAAAGTCCCTGTGCTATATCATCGCTTCTACCTCCTGAATTCTACAAAGAATCAATGCACACTTTCTGTGGCTACACTGTACAGCTCGAGAGAGCCAACTAGTTAAGCAGCGGACTTACTGGCCCGAGGGCCAATGTTTTGAACCCCAACTAGGCATCTCGACTGCTCTTGCCTGACCTTGGGCAACCTGATAGGACCTCAGGCCTCACAGTTCCTTCGAGTGGCGTAGCAGATAGGCATCGAAAGTGTCACCGTTGAACAATCGTTGTTTACACTTTACCGAAGCATAAATGGACCACGGCCCATCCCACTAGACATGAGCTCATCTCGAAGAACCCAGTGTACTCAATCAAATATCTTTAATTCTACCAATGACCCCTCGACCAAGCTAAGAGTCGGGTGCAACGTTGCCTTTCCCACAACGACCGATGACTCTCAATCTCACTGTCGAGACATAGATTCCATCGCTAATAACAAGTCCAACGTTGTCCTTATGTCGCATCTTCTGTTCTCTTTTCCCAGTCATTCGTTTAACTTGGCTGTTTAACTTGATAATCTCTACAGGGTGGAAAAACCTACCAAATCTTTATCTGCTACCATGAACATCTAGCATGTAAAATTTCTGTGTTGACAACGCTTAGTAGTGTATGGCCAAAATCAACAGAACTGGTGGCAAACACCAACACTTAACAGCCAAACGCCTAGTGCAGAGCGCAGAAAGTTTGGTGGGAAGTCCTGTGTCTGGAAAAATGGAAAAAAAGGTCTACGCCTTCACTTAAATATGAGCCACAAACCAAGGCTAGACAAGTTCCGGGGGGTGAATTTCCAGAATATTTCGAGGACCCCACGGGGCACCAGCCAGCGATCACAGACGAACTTCAGCCGAACAGATATACAATCAAGCTTTCCTCGCCCTCGACATGCTGGTCTAAGCTTAAATGGTTGAGTTTATGTGGGTCTGTCTAGGCTTGGGCAACCTAAGAGTAACACATCTCTCGTGCTTCCTTCGGGTGGCATGGCAATTAGGCACTGAAAAGGTGGTACAGCTGAACCATCCTAATCTCAACTGTCAGTCATGCAGCGGAATAGCATGCAGTCATCACCATCACCAATAGCAATAGTAGGGAAGTGACGCCAAACTGTCATACGACACTGTGGAACTCTGATGGAAGAAATAGGCCCAGACAGAACTTACAATACACATAAAGTACCTACATCCACAACCCAATCTGGATGAAAATTCGTAACATGAATGTCATTGACATCGATTGGCAGCCATATCTTGGTGTCTTCAGCCGGGTGAAGGGTCACATGGTCCCCACACCACTGGTGACACCCGCCTAACAAATGCAGGGAAACGCGAACAGATATTAAGTTCGTCTTTAGTCTTACTCCTGACGGTAAAGTTCATACGCCGAGGAACTTGTGCCGGAGGAATACATCCAGACTGTCCACTACCAGAGGACGCAGAAGTTAAGGCCGGAATGAGATTAAAACACTCAATCCAACAGACATGTTGCGTCACAAACCGATTACCGGTTAATCCTGCTACCGACATTTCGTACAACCAACCGATACAGACTAGTTGTTATCATGATTCACAAGGGTAATCAGGTAATTCAAGTCAAAACATTGCCCCTCTGAAAAACTGATACGAAACTGAGAAAATCGATGGGGCAACCAGTGGAATTGGCGAGCTATAGACATGGCTATCTGCAATAGCAATATTGAGTCCGCCCCACTAACAATACTCAAAACAAATGGAACGAACGGTGGAATGCAACAGTGCGGTTATTAGGGCTGCGGAAACCCATCCCACTTACAGTACACCAATTATTCGGAGCAATATAAAGCATTTATTAGCACAAGGCTGAGACCTACCATCAGGTTTATGTAGTACATACCTTCCCGAGGCATACACTTTGATGACAAAATACCTAGTACAATGCAGATCGGACGGTTGTGGCAATGGGAAACTATGGCTCTACAGGCGTACCTGGTGAGACACGACTTAAACCGAAGGACTGGATAATGCTCATATTATTCTCCTACGCGTCCACATGTGCAAACTTTTAAGCGCCAAAGAAAACCCACAGTACTGGATTAATGGTTTATTCTGTGGCTGGTGATCCATTTAAATACATTGATTCTGGGCATCACGTAGAAAACGGTTCGGACGATTATGACATCTGATTTGGCGGGTGTGTCGGTTTAGAACTCTTCGTCATTTTCATCCGGCAAGGATGCCTCAGCGGCCATCTATAGTGAATACATTATCAAGATGCGCGGGCGCTTACTTGTAGCTCTTGCTCGTACTGCTTCGCAAGGGCCGCATCCATGGTCAATTCTGGAGGTTGCATGGCGGGCATCTCGACAAATTCCAAGTTGGGATCTCCGACAAGCTTTCGAGCCAGCCACAAGAAGGGTTTCTCGAAGTTATAATTTGATTTAGCTGAAATATCGTAATACTTGAGAGGTATGTAGATTCGATAAAAGTTCGCACCTGAAGGTTCTTTTTCCGGTGAAAGGTTATGGACTTCGCCTTCACTTTTCGGTCCTGAATGTCCACCTTGTTTCCACAGAGTACAATGGGGATATTTTCGCAGACCCGAACGAGATCACGGTGCCAGTTAGGAACATTTTTGTACGTTACGCGGCTGGTCACGTCAAACATTATAATTGCGCACTGGCCCTGTATATAATAGCCGTCACGCAAGCCCCCAAACTTTTCCTGCCCAGCAGTATCCCAGACGTTGAATCGTATTCTACCACGGGTTGTGTGGAAATCCAGAGGGTGAACCTCGACGCCCAGCGTAGCTAGCAAATAAAGAGAAAACAACGCCAGGACTCACCAACATATTTCTTCTCAAACTCGCCACTGATGTGACGCTTCACGAAAGTTGTCTTCCCCGTTCCTCCATCGCCTACCAGAACAAGCTTAAAAGTCGCGACCGGTTCGGTATTCATCGTGAGAGAATCCCGGTGTGAGACGCGCGTACGACCAATCGAATTCAAGCTAGTGAGGCCCGCCAAAAGTTCAGTGTGAAGAAACAAACCCGAGCCGCATGGGACAAATTGCCAGTACCTTCTTGATCAAACCAAGCCCAAACGATAAATAGAAGTAACTGAGGGGAATATTTTGGAAGAATGATGGAATTCCGTGAGTGGAGGAAGGTTACGGTGTACGGTACAAATAAAAAATAGGCGCGGTGATCGGATAATCAGGCGCTCAGTATTCGCACAACAAAATTGAATTTTTGAAAGATATAACGTGTCGTTGATGGACAAAAAGAGACAGATAATTGAGTCTGCAGTACGACTTCAAATTTTGAACCACATCTAGGCACCTAAGGGTCTCAACGATGCTAGAATGTATTTCTCCAGGCTTTTCCTCCAGGGGAATGATTGCTACAGTGGACAGTGAAATTCGGTGAGCTGCAAAATGTGAGCAGGTACGCAACCAAATGCGACATTTTGTCGAAAACAGTTTTATTTTACTCGCAAAGTTTTTCGGCAAAGAGCGCTGTGCGGCAGATGGGCCTCGTTTATCGCAATTTGCAGTGTCCCCCTGGTAAATTGTAAACTTTGACGTTTACAGGAAGCGTTTTGCATGCGTGATCGCAACCTATATGGGCGCAACTAAATGGAACAGTGCCATGAAATAAGTCAGGCATGGCAACTTTAAAAGTCGCTTTCCACGTACATACTTTTGGAGTCATTTCTGCCCATTTCAGCTATTCTTTGCCCAGCATAGTTTTCTCGTACAAGTATAGCCTGAAACAAAGATAATTTCAGTCAGTCTGCGCGCATCTTCTGTGTCTACCAAATGGGTAATGAACATGTGTCAGAATACTGCAGTCAATCGAAATGGTTACTTTCGGGAAGCTTACTGCGGAAAGCAATGGCTATTACCCCAAGTTTGAAATCATTTAACGTGAACAGATTTGGAGCTAGGTTGATAGTACCAATTGTTAATCTCTCCTGACACCTTTGTTCATTAAAGCTTTCGCCTCTCTGCTCCTCGTGGTGAGCAAGATGGAGCTTCACTGTCGGGAAGGATTCATTCATAGCCAACTGGTCCCTTTCTCAAAGATTTTGGGAGCGCGGGCGTAAGCAAAGAAACGGCTTTGGAAGAAGTAAACAATGGCATGCCCAGTAGGCTTACCGTGTGCGCACGGCACTTCCTATTTTCCCTAGTTTTTTCTCCTTCCAACCACTTTGGGCGCAAATTCGACCAATTTTCGGGTTCAGCTGATCTCCAAAGTGATTACCTAAGTCGAGCTGGCCTCGTTCTGCCATGGTAATTGTTCTCAAATCACACAACCCCTGCATCTTGTGCGTAGCTGTCCTGTAGCCGTTGGTTTGTAGAGCGGCCACTAGTCGGACTGGTGTAATGGAAAGCACTGACTTCGCCGCAGAGCAATACGCTGCTCTGTTCGTCTCGACCCCTAATCACCGATCCATGGTCTTCCTCTGCCGTGCCCCCACCAACACATCTACTTGCAACGAAGCCGTAAGCCGATATCCATATGGATATCAGGTCATTCTCCCCCTCCTCGGAGCAAATACTCCAGCCCAATAAGACGCAGAGCAACTGCTTCATCTTGTGTCATTCTGCGTCCACCGACTACCAAAAAATTCCATACCTTGAAACTTAAAGCTGCTCGTACAAGAATTCAAAGACAGCTTACCAAAAAGTCACCGGAACCTGTTGCATCGTCACCCACCAGTACTTGCGCTGACGAGTGCCACAAT